AATCTTTTCTCTCAACTCGATGCCACTTGCAATGTATCCTGGCTTACCCTACCAAAATGAAAAGCAACTTTTAGAACTCGGGCTGAAGCCCATACTTATCTCTGAGAATTTGTTGAGAGAGGGAGAGAGACAAAGAGAGAGAGCTAAAGAAGGTTAGCCAAAATGAAAAGCAACTTTTTATGAATAGGGTTGAAACCCTAAATCTATCCTTCCAAAATGGAGAGAGATAGAGAGAGAGCTTAACAAGGCCAGCCATGGTAGCACTACCCTACCCTATCAAATGAAAAGCAGCTTTTAGAACTAGGGCTGAAATTAGTGTTTGAAAAATCAAACCGGTCTCGGATGGGCAAGTCCCGTCCGGTCAAAAAAGTGACAAAAAAGATACAAAGAAAAAAATAAAAAATATTTTTAAGTGTGATTAAGAAAAGCACATCCAAATTAAATTGAAAATTAGTGAAAAAAATGGATTTTAAAAAATCGGTTTCTGGGTATTTTTTAAAAATTTTTAAAAAGATGCAAAAATGTAAAAATAAGTTTTCATGGTCAAAACACTTTTCAATCTTCACCAAAATGATAAAAAACAGTTAAAAATGCATTACAAACAAATCCCTTTTTTTTGAGATTTTATATAATTTATTTTGAATTTTTTGAAAAAAAATACTTGGCCGAATCACCAAAATTGAGGCTGGACAGTGCCCAGTTCTGGTTTGACTGGCTGGTTCTGAGTTGATCTCGCCGAGTTTGGAGTTTGAACCCCAAATTTATCATTCCAAAATGGTGTGTGAGAGAGAGTGAGATAAACAAAAGAAAGCCAGCCATGGCAGCACTCGGTGTCCTAAGGTGAATTTGGAAGGTCTTTCATTTGAAAGAAACTTTAGTTTCCAAGTCTGATTTTTGGACATATAGAGAGAGATGAAGGAAACTAAAGAAGAGAGAGAGAGAGAGATAAAAGAAACTAAAGAAGGGTAGCCATGGCAGCACTCAATGTCCTAAGGTCAATTTGGAAGCTCTTTCTTTTAGAGAAAAAAAACTTTACTTTCCAACTCTGATTATTGACAGAGAGAGAAAGAGAGAGAGATAAAAGAAACTAAAGAAAGCCAGCCATGGCAGCACTCAGTGTGCTAAGGTCAATTTAGAAGCTCTTTCTTTTAGAGAAAAACCTTTACTTTCCAACTCTGATTTTTGACGGAGTGAGAAAGAGAGAGAGACAGATGAAAGAAACTAAAGAAAGCCAGCCATGGCAGCACTCAGTGTGCTAAGGTCAATTTAGAAGCTCTTTCTTTTAGAGAAAAACCTTTACTTTCCAACTCTGATTTTTGACATGGTCCCTCTCGTGACCCACTTCCCTTGCATATCTAAATGATGATGTTCAATGCTTTTTCTTCAATTCCTACTTTGTAATCATCATCCTAACACAACCTTTTCCCACTTACAATTGATGGAAGATTCCAATGCCAGAGAAGCCTCAATAGATATGGCAGATTGACCAAAGAGATAGCCCTTTCCCCTCATTTCATTGTGTCCTTACAATGGGTTTGCTTTGTTTCCAGTATTATTCTAACTTTTTCTAAACCCTAGAAAGGCTCTCTCTCGTCTTAATAAACTATTGCATGCTTTAACATTCAAAAATAAAAACAGAAAAGAAAGAAACCTATGTTGTGCTTTTCCTTCGCCCACTTGAGTTCTACTCTGCAATTTGTTCTTGAAACTTCAAATTTAAACTGATGTTTTGGGAACAACTACTCTGGCCGAGTACTCGGTCCATGCCCGATCCGATTGCTCGGACCAGGTTGGAATAACTCAGCCCGAGTAATGCCAAGTACTATAGCAACAAAAATAAAGTTTCAAAAATACAAAAATTCAAACAAATAGAAAATGTATGTTTACAGTAAGATTAAGCAGAACTCATCAAAATGAGGTTAAAAATGTAATAAAAAATATATTTTAAAAAATCATGTGACTAGGGCAATTTTTGAAATAGTTCAAAAAATATAAAATAAGTATTTATGGTCAAAACATTTTCCAGTATTCGCCAAAATAATAGAAAACATAAAGCAAACACATCCCAGATAAATTCTTTATTTTTAAGACTTTTTTATATTTTGTTGAATTTTTTAATGTTCCTGAGTTAGACACCCAACTCAAGAAAATGTAAGGTCCGCAAGGGTCCGAGCCCGAGTAACTTGGTCGAGGAGAAACTACTTGGCTGACTTTGCGAAAATTGGTTTCAACTAATGTTTTGGAAATCAGACCATTGGGTCAAACTGGCGACTCACCGGTTCCGGGTTGAATTGGATGAGTTGGCGACTCAGTTAAGTAAACTTGGTGTGTATTTCCAAAAAAAGAAAAAAGAAAAACTCAAAACTCAAAAAAAATTAAAAGCTTGTAAGTATTTAATCAAAGCTTAGGAACTTCAAATCATCCTAAAAATACTGGTAATATAATAAAAAGGCTTTTTTAACATTATTTTAGATATAACACTATTTCCCGGTAGTGAAGCTTACAATGTTGCATTTACCACATTTCTTAGAACCATAGGGCATTATGAGAGAAACCATTTTTCCGGTCAAATTCCATGTAGTTGTTGTAAATCACGGAGACTCAATGTTTGCCGGAACTGTTGAGGAAATTTTTATGGTCATATTGGACGACACATCATGAGAGTTTTAATATAAATAGCTACAACATGACATCTTGAGTTCCATTCTTATCACAGGGAGGAACCCCATCTCCATAGAACTACCCAAAAAAGAAAAAAAAAAACTATCCATAAAAATAATATTTGTTATTATCCTCATGGTACATTAATTTTTGTCAAATAACTAATAAGATATGAACGGTTTTTTACTTAAAATATTTATTCTACTCCTCATTACTGAAAAAAATCTTGCCCAAAAATCTTTTGTATTAAAAATTGAAATAGGTATCTATTGAATATTTAGTAGGTTAAAGAAAATTTTACTACCATGCCCATGGTAGATCCACTAGCAACTTATATTGTAGCCTACATACTAAATATTTTCTATCCAAAGAGGCCTTGATGCAAATGATAAATAACTAACCAAGCCTGGACATCTAAAAGTTAAACAAATCTTTAACTCCATGATCCAAGAATTACACTAAAGTAGGAATCCAAGCCTGTGCTAATAACTCTAATCATTGTGCCTCACATTTCTTCATGGTCCAAGAACTAAATTTAAGAATGTAAAAGAGAATTCACTCTTAATCCTTTTCAATGGCTTCCCTTTTCAAGTAACAACCAATTTCCATCCCTTTCATGCATATTATGGTAGTAGAACTTTAGAGGTGTAATGCATTAGGAATCGGGCTTGGGCTTGGGCTTGGGCTTGAGTGGTTAGCAAGTGACGTTTAATAATGTTAGATCTCAAGTTCGATTCTTTTAAATGAATTACTTATAAAATTAAAATAAAATAAAATAAAAAAGAAGAAGGAGAGAGAGAGAGAGGGGTGCAAGGAAAATTACCCTGGATTTGACCAAAACAATTTATGAACAAAGACTATCCAAGTTTTCTAATACTCACATCTAAGTGTCTATAAACTCGGCATCTGTACATGTTTCTTTTGAAAGCACTCACAGGTTATTGCATTGAGATTTTAAGATTAAAGAGCAGTTATCTAATTGTTCGATGATGAGATCTAAGTGTTTAAAAACTGAAAGTTCATACTTGCTTTCCACATTAATGGTGATTCTATTAGGAATGAACAAAGATTATCCCCTTTTTGGAAAGTCAAATCTCATTACTTACGAAAATTTCCATATTTGTACTTAGCAATGATTCTAAAGAGGATTCTAAAATATTAGATCAAGAACATCAGCTTGGGTTAAAGAGGATTCTAAAATATTAGATCAATAAAATCATCCTGGGTACAGTGATATCCAAAATTACCTCTTTAAGGAAATATTATGATATTGGGTTTCCATGCTTATTGGAATTTCTATTTTATAAGATGTGAAATATCTTGTTTTTAGAAAACCAAATTATATAGAAAATAAATATCCTTTATTCTTGCTTTATTTTTGTTGTCTGTTACCACTTGTGGTTATTTCAATTCTTTATTTGTCAAAAAATCAACCTATCCCGTGTTTGAGCTTCCTTGCACAACACTTCCTAAATAAGGGAAAAAATGGGATTAGCCCACGAGCTCATATTAGTACAACGGTTCAAATTGAATCTAGATCGATCTGATGATCACAGATGTTCGGTAGTGTTTGAATTTTAATTTTTTTTTCTACAAATCTAAATCACTTGAAATTTTAGGTATGTGTTCTTCTCATCAAGACGCACCTAATAAAAATATAAAAAAAATTATCCGGAAAAAATAAGATAACCAAAATACCTCCCAAAATTTTTCGGAGGTATTTTGATTAATTTATTTCATGTAAAATATTTGTTTGATATTTTTTGAAGATTCACCTATTTTTTATGCACACATGCCTAAAATTTCAAGTAACTTGAATTTGTAGAAAAAAAAAAAAATATTCAAACACTATCGAACATCCGTGATCGTCAGATCGACCTAAAATCAATCTAAGACATTGGGCTCATTCATATCAACTAGTGGGCTAATCCCATCTTTTCCCCCTAAGTAAATTCTTTACCCAAGTGAGTAAAAACGCATTGTGCTTCAATTTAGTCCAGAGTTAATGAGAGACGATACACTTGACGGATGAACTATTTTAATTTTTTAATTATTTTTTTATTTAGTTTTAAGAAGCCTAGTAAGATACAAATGATTATGAGTTGAAATAGTCGAAAATTTAAATGGTAGATAGAAAATTTGTTAGTAGTCCCAGGACCAAAAGAGGGGGGGGGGGAAGTACCAGAGGAGAGTGACAAATATATTGTAGGGCAATTATTTGATAAGGAATAACCAATTTAGAAAGGAAGAGTGAGAAAAAACCCATAGCAAGAGAGAGATTGATCAATTTTAGCAAGCATAGAGAGAGAGAGAGGGAGAGAGAGGAGGGGGGCCATATCTTTGTATGAAAATCGCTTGTTTGATACATAATGTATATACACTTCTTATTCGTATACAAACCAAAACCTGCTCTCGGCTATCCAACCACTCATTCTACAATTACACTCTTATAATTAACATGAATAATCAACAGAAACACAGCAGGATACATAAAATATCACCCGAGGCAATAAAATTCAGTGAGAAAGCAATGAGAGAGAGAAACATGTGTACTCTAGTGATAGGGACAGAGAAGTGTATGGAGGAGATCAAGAAACAAAATTTGCAGAGACAGAGAGAGAAGCAGATTAGGTTGGAGTCAAAGGGAAGGGAATAGTGGGTCGGAGAGAGAGAGAGGAAAATATCTGAGTTTAGGCGACTGAAAGATAGTGTGTGTTTGTGTGTGTGTGTGAGAGAGAGAGAGAGAAAAAAGGTCGGAGGCAAGGACGGAGACAAAATGATTGATAGAGAGAGAGGAATTAAGTTGCAGGTAAGGAGAGAGAGAGATGATATGTATGCATATGAGTGAAAGAGCTAGAGGTTGTGTATGTGAGAGAGAGTGATAGATGCATGAGAGAGAGAGAGAGAGGAGGGAGATTAGGTTGGGGGCAAGGAGAGGAAGATATCAGACAGCAGAAAAAGAGAAATCAGATTGGACGACAGGAGAGAGAGAGACGGTGAAATATTGGAGGCAGGGATATATATATATATAGAGAGAGAGAGAGATAGAGGGATAGAGAGAGAAAGAGACTATTTGAGAATAAGCATGGATCTGAAAATGGTAGAGAGCCAGGATTTGCCACCACGCATGGACTCCAGCTCTCGGACGATCTCCGTGGCGCATGGCCTCGCCATTGGCTCCCGCCTGGTGCAGGCCACGGCCAAATGCATGGCCCTCGCCATTTCCCCTTGATACTCAACCATCTCCTCTCTCAGTCCCGGGTCCAGCCACGTGTCGGTCGCACACTCCGCATAACAGTAGTGCGCCCACCCCACAAGGTCACCATGGCCGGATATCCCCGGTTCGGATGGTCCCTTTCCTGTCAAAAGCTCGATCAGCAGAACGCCGAAACCGTATATGTCGTTCTTTTCAGTGAATTCCTTGCTGTGCATGAATTCTGCAAATAAGAAAAATGGGTGAGAAAAGGAAGGGGCTATTTGAGACTCGCACTCTGGCAATTCTTTTGCATTTGTATCCGGATCCAAGATTTTTATTATTTTGGGGCCGTCGAACGAGTCACCCTCTGGAGTTGAAAAAAAGAATAGAAGTCTTCCGAGAACCCATGGGAAATGAGATAAACAGAGATTTTAGGGCAGGTTGGTTCGCAACCGGTTCCGATCCGGCTTGAAGAAAATAAAAAATTCACAGTATCACTCATTTTTTTGAGAGTTTTGAAAAAATTAAAAGTTTTCTAGAGTTGGGGTGGAAAGCCATGCCAGCACTTTTTAGCGAATTTAACGTTTTAATCTCTTTCTATTACTCTAACTTCAAATCATATATATTTGTTGAGTATTTTGAAATTAAATCAATTGATAAAATAGTTAACATATATGTACATTTTGACAAATTTCCCACAAGCAAAATATAGTTTGATAAATATTAAATAGTTAACATTTATGCACATTTTGACAAATTTCCCATAAATAAAATAGCGTTTGAACACAATTACACATTAACCGAAACCGAAATCCTTTGGTTATTTGCTTTTTTGACTTCTATAAATAAAGCCAAAGAAACCATTAGCTGTTCCCAAACTTTGGGCCGAAAAGCTAAGCATCCTTTTGTAAAAAGATCTTAAAGAAAAAAGTTAAAAAGGGTAGCAGACGTTTTGGTTTTAGACATGGATATTTTAATATGCAAACGCGTGCTAAACAGATGAGTTTGGCAAAAAGTTGGATCCTCAAATTATTTATATAAACTTTTATCTGAATAAAAAAAATGGGACACTTACGGTAGAAGGAGGCTACAAATCATATCTGAAACTAGATAGTTTGGATGTGTCACAATATTCAAAAAGTAATTTTTTTTAAAGTTTGGTTATTGAAATAAATGCAGCCAATATTAATTGTGACCACCTTAAGCTAATTGTGACCACCTTAAGTCAAAGGTAAATGGTTTTGTTATATAATTTTCTAAAAAAATTTATATAAGGTTGAAATTTACTTCAGTATTTAAAAAAATGGATGGTGGAGTAGATCGTCGACCCTCAATACCGGTCTACTAGATCGGCAATTTGAATCATTCTCGAATTGTTTGAACCAGTGATCTAAAAAAATTAAGATAAATAAATAAAATAAAAAAAACTAAAATAGAGGCTTACGTGGTGGTAATTTCAGTGGGGACCCACAAAAACATTAGATAATTTTTAATAAAAACAAGCAAGCCAAAAAAAAAAAAGTGGTTTTGTGACGGAACCAATCCGGTACCTATACCATTTTCGAACCGGTTCGGTCCATTGTTCCGGAACCCAGATTGTAAGTCGTCGGGTTTTAAAACACTGCTTTATTATGTAGATTCATAGTGCACATAAAACATCCGATAGAAAATATTCTTACGAAGTTGGAAATCCTACATTGTTGATATTGCTCACCTCGACCTCAAGATCCATGTATAAAAAGAAACAAAGAATTTCAAATCTAGCACCATTTTGAAAATTTTAAAATTTATATGGGTAGAACATGAATTTTCAAGTTTCGGACACCGGTGTTATACGTTCTCACAAAACTTACCGATGCGAGAAGTGGGCAGCTTGTACAGTATAAGTGGGCACCTTATTTAAACCTCACCCAAATTAAAAACATTAAAAAAAAAAAAAAATTGGTAAAAAAAAGACAAAAGAAAAAAAAGAGACAAAATTACCTGGAGGTGCATAACCAGAGGCGAGAAACCCCTTGGAATTATTCCTCAAAGTTCCGGGCAAAACAAGCTTCAACCGAGGCTCACCATCTTCCCCAACAATCACTTTTTCTGGTAAGACGCAGCCGTGAATTCTCGCCGGAAAACTTTTACAGTGTAAATACTCTAGAGCCCTCGAAATTCCGGCAGCTATTTTCAGTCGGAAATGCCATCCCAGCTTCTTACCCTCACTCCCATGCATGATTTCGCCGAGATTCCAGCCGCTGATATATTCATATATCAAAATACCGGTCGCCTCGGACCTGCATGTTCCAAGGAGCCTCACGATATTCCGGTGCCTGACATTGCCAGAATCCGATAGTTCTGGCCAAAAGCTCGCCAGAAAATCCCTGTTTCCGGCCAACTCTTTGACCGCAAGAGTTAAACCCTTGACGTCCGTTCTCCCCTTGTAGAGGCTCCCTGTCCTTCCCTTAGATATCAAGCTCTCCTTATTCATGGTGTTTAGCACGTCATCCACCGTAATGACGTGGCAATTACTGTACATTTCTAGTGTCCACATGTCGTCTTCCTCTGTGTCAACCTTCTTACGCTGAGATTTCCGGCGCCGGAAAAGCCAGAAGAGTAGAACGCCGGAGAGAGCACCCAGAATGCCGAGAAAAACAGCCAGTGGTAAAAGTAAACTGGAACCGGAACCTGTTTTGCAACGGGTCAAACCGGATACGAGCCCGCACAGACCGGGATTACCGGCCAATGCGGTGAAGTTGATCGTGAGGAAGGCCCCGGTAACCGGCACTTTGCCACGTAGCCGGTTATGCGACACGTTAATGTCAAGGAGAGAGTCCATGTCACCGAGAATGGCCGGTATTTTGCCGGTTAGCTGGTTTTCAGATAGATCAAGGTCCCCGAGAACAGGTATTCCAGCAAGTTCAACCGGAATCCCTCCGGTCAGCCGGTTATGACTTAGGTCTAATGTAACAAGCTTTTTGCATTCACCGATTTTGGCTGGAATCTCATGGGAAATTTGATTCCAGCCAAGATTTAAGAGTGTCAGCTCTGAAAGGTCCCCATAGCTGGCTGGAATAACCCCGGAGAACTGATTTTCCGATAAGTCTAGGGTTTCCAGCTTCATGGAACTGTTTTGAAATTCTGGCAAGTTGCCGGAAAACCGATTGCTGGCTAATTTCAACACTTGAAGAGAGGAAGTATCCCATTTCCGGCCATCTAACTTGCCGGAAAGTTTGTTCATTGAAATATCCAGGAAGTACAGTACAGGAAGTTTTGAAATTTCCGGCGGTAACTCTCCAGAAAAGCTGTTGTTTTGTAGCCTCACTCTTCTCAGAGTTGAACAATGACCCAAGCTGTAAGGAATGGTTCCATTAAGCTTGTTCGAGAACAGAATGAGTTTATATAACCTTTTTGAATCACAGAGACTGGCCGGAATTTCGCCAGTTAAGTAATTGGTGGAGAGATCAAGCTCAGTTAAGTTGCTTTTCTTGCCAAGATTGGTTGGAATCTCGCCGGAAAAACCATTAGCCCACAGAGCAAGAACATGTAAACAAGGAAGCAAAGCCAAAACTTGAGGGATAGCGCCATGAAAACAATTAGAGAAAAGGTTCAGTACCTCAAGCTTATGCAACTTTCCCATGTCTTCACTCAGAGTTCCATTGAGCTCATTGTCACTTAGATCCAATGAAACCAGCTCGGTTAGGTTAAAAAATGAACCAGGAATCGAAGCGGTAAGCTTGTTCTGGTAAAGATACAGGTATTTCAAGCCCCTCAAATTACCAAGAGTAGGAGGAATGGAACCAGTAAGGTTGTTGTAAACCAAATTCAAATGTTTCAACGATTTTAACTGGCCGATTTCCGATGGAATTTCGCCCGAAAAGTTGTTGTAACCAAGGTAGATCCACTCCAAATTCAGAAGGTTTCCGATCTCTGGCAATAATTTTCCCGTTAACTGATTACTCGCCAGGGTCAAGTTTCTTAACGCCGTTAAGTTCCATATTGAAGGAGGCAACTGACCCGTTAACGAGTTTCCACCAAGATCGAGCACTTTAAGGCCAGAAAAATAACCGATCTCTAATGGAATCGAACCAGAAAAGAAGTTATTGGAGAGGTCTATGGTTTCTAGGGTCTGAGCAGAAGCTTTGGGGATAGAACCAGAGAGAGAGTTCGAGCTCAAATTTAGGGTTTTAAGAGAGGTCGAGTTCAAAAAATGTAAAGGTAATGCTCCCGTAAAATTGTTGAACCCTAGGTTAATGGCTTCGACAAAGGGGAATTGTAAAAGGTCTAGGCTTTCTAGGGTTCCGGAAAGGTTCTTTGACGCGAGGCTGATCTCTCTGACATGGAGCTCGGAGTTGCAGAGCACGCCCGACCAGTTGCAGTACAAGGGGTAACTGAACCCTAATGGCAAGTTGACGGGGTCGGCCCAGGAGGAGAGGGACTTTAACGGATCCATAACGGTGGATTTGAAGTACAGAAGAGATTTGAGCTCGTCTGATGCTTGTGAAGAGGTGGGTAAAGCGTGAAGAAGGAATATACAGAGGAGGAGAAGAGGCTTTTTGTTGGCTTTCTCCGTGACTTCAACTCCCATTTCTCTGCAAATTCAAACGAGGAAGAACCAGTTAGTGTTACCCAAAAGTTCAATAGCTTTAGGACAACATTTTTCTATGCAGTTTTTTTCCATCTCTCTATCCTTTCTCGCTCTCTCTCTCTCAAGGAGGAAAAGCTTTCTGCATTCTCTCTGTCTCTAAAAAGAAGAGCTTTCTGCTCTCTCTCTCTCTCGCAGAAGAACCTTTTGATGACAGGATCTGAAGCAGTCTTTTCAAGACAAGATATCGATTGGAAAAAAATATCGATTTTTTTTGGCAAAAATGGTAAGTTTCAGATGAAAATCATTAAAAAAAATTATATTTCGTGGATCCATGCTGCGAAACATTTTCAATTGATCCATTCCGACTAGTTTCTTTCTTTCCATTCCGACTGGTTTCCTTCATTCTTTTTTGGCAAAAATGGCAAGTTTCAGATGAAAATCATTAAGTTGTTTTAATATTTTCGAGGATCAATGCTGCGAAACATTGTAAATTGATCCATTCCCACTAGTTTCCCTGCTAAAACCTAGTTTGAAATTAGCTTCTAGATTGAAGTTTTCTACTCTAAACGTTAGTTTGAAAATGATTCAGAATTACAAAAGAATACTGAAAATTCAGGATTAAATCCATTTTTTCTCTGAGCAAAAGCTTAAGGACTTGAAAAAAAAAATCCAGAAATTTGAAAATTATTATTATAGTTATTCTTAAAACCTAGTTTGGAATTCTCTTCTAGATTGAAGTTTTATACTCTAATCACTAGTTTGAAAATGTCTCAAAATTACAAAAAATTACAAAAGAATACTGATAGTTCAGGGTTAAATGCATTTGTTCTCAGAGCAAAAGCTTAAAAAAAAAGAAGACCAGAAATATGAGAAATTATTATTGTAATCTATTCTCTGAAAAAAGGCTACTTCTTCAGTGATCTTTAAGTACTAAGAGCTAAAAGAAAAGAATTGAAAATCCTATAATTAAGTCATTGGTAATCCAACCAAAACTGACCATAACCAAAGAGTTTCTTTTCAGATTTAGAAAAGAAAAGAAAAAAAAAACAAAGGTAAAGAGTGGGGATTGTATCTCAAGCGTGTTTCTCTCCAAAAAAAACTACTTCTTAAAGGGAAATCTAAAATTGCTTCTCCACTGTACTGTAACACAATATACTCAAACAGGCTATAAAAAAATGGAGAAACTAACACTGAATTTGAAGCTCTTACCAGCGAATTTACAGCGTTTCTAAACAAAAATCTGATCAATGCTGAAATCTTAAGAATCCTACTGAGAAAAATCAAATAAAACTTCGTTTCATCGCCGATCAAACTGATTTCTCTCAGATTCAGCTCAAAAAATTGAAGTAAGAGACAGGAATATTAGAGATTTAAATACTAGTTTCCAACAAAAGGTCCAAATGCAAATCAGAACGAAAACAGAGAGGCTTTTCTTCAAGAAAAATACCGGCGAAAACAAAAGAAAATAATGGAAAAGGACTAGTGATTTATTCAAGGACAAGAGGAATAATTTCTCAGAAAAATCCAAATTCATCACAGATTTAACAGAGAAACTTTTCTTCGGAGTAATCATTCAAGACAACGACTAACACGTACTTGGAAAGAGTTATGCGCGAAAACCTGCTTTTTCGCCGAAATCAGACGAAATTTCACCGTGATTTCTCAGGTAAACGAACTTATTATGCCTGGACTTTGCCTCAAAGCAAAGTTTCAATCAAGTTGCCTTAATGGCGGCCTCCAAATTTTGCATAATTTCGCCATTTTTCCTCTGAGAACGTGTGTTCAATGCCATGATCACGCATGACTAGAGAGAGAGAGAGACTGTAAGATAGAGAGAGAAAGAGAGTTTTAGAGAGAGAGAGTATAGCTCTAAACGCCGGTGCGAAGCGACTACTTATAGTATCATGGTCCGTGATACGATGCGTCAGGGGAAGATTTAGTGTTTAAAATGGACCGTCCAGATTGGGAAAACGGATGCGTGCAATGAATCTGAGCCTTTGTTCCGTAATCGGAAGGGCTTCAATTTCGAGGACACATGTGTCAATCTGAAGCCTTTAAAACGCTTGTTTAATTGGTTTTTTTATTTTAAAATTTGGATGGAGCATGAGGAAGTGGTCTTTTGACTGGGAAACGTAACTGACCCAAAGATTCTTTTAAATTACTTTTTAGGTCTCTAGCATTTTTGAGAATGACCAAAATGCTCACTTTATTAAGCTGGACTTGAAAATGACCATACCACCTTTATGGGTTGGCTCAAGCCTTTATTTTTTCTTTTTTAGGTAATTCAGATGGAATAATAAATCTTGATCAGTTTTTAAAATAGTTAGTGGTTTTTTAAATTATTGGATGAGAATGAAAGCCTAGACTTTAATTAAAACTCAGATAGTACCAACACAACCTCAACCTCGTTCTGGCAGTTGTGATGTTACTGGAGTAACTTACGAGATCATCCTTGAAAAGGGTCTAAAAGTTCATTGGGTCGAATCGAACTCTCAATATCCAAATCGGGAACTGATCAATGGGAGGAGAAATCTCTTGATCCAAATCGGGATAGGTAGCTGGTAGATTCCAGTATGAGGAAATCTGAATTCACATTGGCTCCCCAATGTTTTTTTTTTTTTGTATGAGTTTTTAATTCTTTGCAATATGAAATCCAATCTAACATGAGAATCCTACAAGGAGGTCCACTTTGGATTTTTAAAACAATATACAATGAGATCATTTATCTTTAGTATAACGAGATCACAATTACTTACAACCATTCGATGTGAAAATATGAAAGCTTGGGTGTGTCGCAAAGTTCAAAAAAAAAAAAACAATTAAAGTTTGAGCTTGCTCAATAGAATAAATGCAACCACCAATTTCATCCAATAGTCAAGATTAATTATGACTACCTTATACCAAAAGGAAATAGTCTCATTGTATACTTTTCTATAACTAACTTGATTTTTAATGATAGGTCAATTTAATATCAAATATATCTAACAAAATATAGTAACATTCTCGTTGTAGTTCACCTTTGTGTGAAATCCATTTCCATTGTTGCTACCAGTTACAGGTCCACCCCATAGTTTAATTATTAATATTTTAAAAATTTTAAAAGAGGAGCCCATTAGTAAAACATTAGACAGGAAACTAAAGAAAGATGACAATAGGTCTCTTCAAAAACCTTAAGTGACAATACTCGGATTATGTTTGTCTACAATTCATACTCTAATTTGCATAGTATAGACGACAAAGTCTATATTATGTTGCAACCTTAAAATGTAGAACTAAGGTTCACCTGAAAAATCCATGGGAAATGGCTATTTTGATTTTAAAAAAACCTCTAGTTGATCATTTCAACATCAAGATGTATGAATACGAAAACAAAAAATATTTTCGAGTCCCAAAAACAGTGCATCTTGCAATATATTTTCTAGATCATCCATTTTTAAGATTTTCATATGTTTATTGATCTACTTGATTTGAAGCATTTTTGGAGATTAAAATTTTATAATTAGAGATGAACATGGATTCTCAAGCCATCCTAAAAAAATTTGACACCAAAATTACATCTACAATAAAATTTGGAGGTGCACCTAATTTTCATTGTTAAGAATGCAACCTTATACAAAATATCAGGGAGTTGATTTTGTAGAAACTCTAGAAAATTATGGTTACTTACATGAGTTAATCATCTTCTAATGATCTATATACTATATTTTTAAAATACAATTGGAAATCCCCATGCATTGGAGGGAAGGTCGAGTTTATTCATGCACCTTTTTCAAGGAAGGTTTTATATATATTAGAAATTTTAGTTCCCTGGAATTCTTGAATAAGCTATGCCCACAAGATTCTTAAAAGGGTGGGATTTTGTAAAAAATAAAATTTAAAAACTTTTAATGAAAAAAAGTAAAAAATTTCAATTGAAACTCAGCAGAACTCTATGCTCTTTGAAGATATTAACTTTCGAGATAGCCAAAACTATCCCACATATGTATTATCAGAAAATATATATATTCCTAGAAAATTAAGTGTATTACGGTCTTTGATTAAAAAGGGGATATTATGAGAGTAAGAATGAAATTATAATGATCTCTATGCAGGAGGATCAATAGACATAATACTCATCCTTTTTAGAGGCCACTAATTTGAGTATTGAGAAAGAAGATCTCCAATGGAAGACATGACCATTAGAGAGGTTTTGAATTGCTCAAGTTTCTACATTTAGAGAGGCTCCGGGTTCTAGTGCATGGACATTAATGACCAGCTTTGTTCGATCAATGATGATAGGGAGTGAGTTGGAAAAGCGGATAGGGTCGTAGTGGTAGCACTCCCACATCATAGTCACCATATTGGGTTTCTATTCCTATTGATACCACCCAACTAATATCTTCAAAAAATTAACTCCTAAATTATTTACAAAAACGAGTAGGAGCCCATCATTGCCTTGAATTATCAAAAAAAAAAAAAGAAAAAGAAAAAAAAGAGAAGAAGAATTGAGGGAGTGAGTTTAGAAAAAAAAAAAAAAGGCGTTTGTTGACATAGAGAGAAGTATATCTCTTTTAACAAAAAAGTATAATCTTCATTAACAATGAATTTCTAGTTGCCCAAGCTACCTCTCAAGAGTTAAGACCACAAATCTTATGTAATTGTTGTATGTTTTATTTGTCACCCTCATGTTCATGCTCATATTCTTGTTGTATTTGCTTATTTTGGATTTAGCCAACTATATATATACAAATTGAGTGAGATTGTAATCTTTGAAGTTTTGATATTGTGTAAGCAAGAGGCTTCCAAAAGCCTTACAAAAGGTTTCAAACTACACTTCTTTAAAAATTTTGTAAGAAAACATAAAAAATTGTCAACCAAGGAGGATATCTTTCAGCATGATCACTAGTAATTTATGAGCATTGAAAATCTTAAGGGGTGCGGCTTGAACAAGGTGCCAACATCATATTACAAAAGTAAGGTGTACCTTAAAAATCTACTTGAAAAGATTGCTACAACCCTTATGATAGCTAAAACATCTATTTTGATCCCTACTTATAAAATTTAAAACTCCAACTATATTACAGATTAAGCATATCTATATGTTTTTTAAAAATCTTGAAAATGGACGGTCTAGATAATACATTATAAGATGCATTATAAAAATAACTTAAAATCCATTTTTTTTTGCCATATCTACAAATCTCGATAACGAAATGATCAATTAAAGGATTTTTTTTACATTAAAACAACCTTTTTTACATAGATTTTTGAAGAGCACCTTTGATCTATGGTATAAGATTATCTTCTATAAATTTTTTGCTTAGGATAATAGTAACTTTTGTCCATTTCTTCTATGAAGGAGAAAGGGACTGCCAAGAGAGCATTATCATTTCTCATTTGACTACAGCCTCTGCACTACCACGGAAATTGTCTTTTTCTTAGGAGAAGGGACTTGCAATGTCTTTGATTCAAATGACAAGGGTAACATTCCATTCCCTCTTTTTGTAATATAAAATTCGCTTTGTAATTTCCACTAGGATGAAGTGCATTTTAGTAATTTGAGCATCGTGCGCATGCAGGGATAGATACTTGTCGTCTTCCTTATAAAATTACATTTTTTGTATTTGTTAAGTTTTTGCGATGTACACTATGATCTTGCGGGATCAAATTGTTCATTTGTTTTTTGGAGGAAAAATACATTTGAAAAGATTTTATTTGGATTTTAATCCACTAAAACATAATCAGATCTTGTTTCTTTTCATAAATAATAAATACATTTTTTTAGCTATTTAGTACTTAGGTCTTGTTATCCAATAATTGGACGGTGTTCATCTAATGATCGGACATTGTTTATTAAGCTTATAGATGTGTGTTGAATTTTTCACTCTATTGTTTTTAAAGGAAAATATATAGATTAACTACTTAGTATTTTACATATATGTTTTGACTCAATTTCAAAATACCCATCGGAATATACATGATTTTTTACTTTGAGTAGTAATAAAAATAATAAAAATACTAAACATTTAAAGGAAAATTATACAATGAGGCTGTTTACCTTTGATACAAGATGACACATAATCTAGGCTATTGGATGTGAAATTGGGTGGTTGTACTTAGTCCATTGATCATGCTGAAAGTTCGATATAAATTTTCTCGAACTTTATAACACACCTAAATGATCGGATTTTCACATCGGATAGTTATATATTAACTATGACCTTCTGGTACAAAATAAATGATGTCATTGTATACAATCCCATAGTTGAAATGTAAAACGTATTTAAATTTTTTTTTTTTCTAAAACTATCCTCGGCATGGTTCTTACTGTAGGCATATACATAGTTTGATCATGCAAGAGTACTATATTGTAGTCTTCTTAATTTTCTAAATAAAATAAGTTAGTATTTTTGCATTTTTTAATGAGAAAAGGTTATATAACGTTGCAACCTTAAAATGGAGAACTACGGATACACCTCAAAAGTCAATTAAAAAAATGTTGTTTTAATATTGAAAAACCCTCTAATTGATCATCTCGATATCGAGATAAATGACTTCGAAAAAAAAAAAAATTTGAGTCCCATAAATGGTGCATCTTAGAACACATTATCTCCGCATAACATTGTCAAGATTTTCATATATTTATTGATCTATTTGATTTTAATCATTTTTGAAATTTAAAATTTTATAATTAGATATGAAAATAGATTTTGAGATAATTTTAAAAATATTTCACATCAAAATTATATATTATGATAAAATTTAAAAGTGCCTTTTAAATGGATTGTTTAAGGTTACAACCTTACGGAAACCACACTTTTTTTTAATATTTAAATTTTTTATTTAAAAAAAAAAGTGAGGCAACAAAAAGAATGAGGGGAAAAGAAAAGGGGAAAAG